TATTAATATTATTATTAATATTAACTCCCCTGCAAAATTGCAGGGGAGTGGGGGGGTTGCTGTGACGTGGGGAGTTACCCCACGTCATTGTTCTTTTTTCTTCAATGGTTGAAGAAAACAGAACACTACAGTGAAAAAAATAAGCATCCCTAGATCTCTCTCAAGAAGCTCAATCTCTCCCTCTCGTTCAAATTTTTGCTCCCACCAGCACGATCCCGAGACCCAAGAGGATAGCGAGGAAGATTCGGTGGTGGTGTTCGAGGGGAATTCACTGAAGAAACGTTCTTCAAAGGTTTGGAATTTCCCCTGTATTTTCTTCTTTAAAACTCGATTTTGTATCCCGAAAATCAGCAACGAAAATCCGTTTCCGCTCTGGGATTCACATCCCTTCATGAAGTTCTTCGGCTTTGCAGCTTATGAAGTTTTTCGGCTGTGCAAATTGTGAAGTGCTTTGGCTTTGCAGCTTGTGAAGTTCTTCGACTTTGTAGCTTGTCGAAGTTCTTTGGCCAATTTGATGAAGACTTTGCAGTTTGATGAACTCTTCAAGTAATGTTGTTTGGGGAGATAAGATTCAATGTTCTTGAAGTCTCGAACTCTTCAGATCTCGAATTCTTCATGTCTTGTTGGCTTTGGATGTTTCGCTTGACTCTGGATGATTGTGGATGATTCTGAGTGCTCTTTATCTCCAGTTCTTCTAGATCTCTTCCAATTCTTCTTCTCCTCTCTTCAAATGAGAGGTGACCCCTCTATTTATAGAGTCTTGGTGGGTCTTTTATGGGTCATGAGCTTAATGAGTCATTAGCTTGAACCCAGTCTCTTCATGGGTTTTATCAAATTAGTTGATTTCATCGGACGACCATAAGAGAGACACGTGATAGAATTTGATTCGTCGATTTAAAAATTAATTCAGGACACGTGTAAATTTGTCATTGGTCCTAAATGTAATTTTAATTTGTGACGTGGCTTTTAGTAATTAGCCGACATTTCTCATTCAACCGCTCTCATCACACAGGCTCCGACACTTAAATTAGAATCAGAGTAGTCAGATAGAAAGAATGAGGTGTTTTTGCATAGGAAATAGTGGAGATTTGTAGCATACCTCTCAATTTTGAGTATTTTCTTTCAATTTATAGAAGGTAGTATCACATTTGATCTAGGGAGAATCCTAAAACATATCTCTCCATTTGAATTTGTTAAATAGAGGGAATTTGAAAGGCAGAAAATATGAATTTTCTCTATCATAATAGAAACCAAAAACCAATGATATAATTAATTAAATAAAGAAGAAAGGAAGTGGCCATCGTGTTCCTTAATTTGTCTTAAAGGATGAAAAAAGTTACACATAAAAATTAAGATTTTATATTTTTTCTTTTAATTTGTCCTGAATTTTTAGAATGGAAAAATTATATATACTAAAACGCGATTCATGAATCACAATTGTAATTTATCTGCCACGTGGAAGGATATCCTCCATTTTCAGATAAATTGAATTATTGTAGTCTTTATGGAAATCTTCTTTTACATGAATGAAGTATTTTTTTTTAATTATATATATAAATATAATGTAAACTTTTGTCTATAAAAATTTATGATTCTACCCTTTACATAATTTGCCTACTTTATTCACATGAATGCGAGATATCAGGTAAGATAATACTTGCCCATCGTAAAGCTCTCACAACACTTTTATAAAAACTATATAGTCAATCCAACGTGGAATTTATCGTTTTATTCCTATTACTTTAAGATCAGTTTTGTCATCTAAATATATATTTATCTCTCTCAATTCCTCTAATGTTATCCCTCATTTTAAATACTATCTCTCAATCTTTACAAATTTTTCTCTCTCTCGATTCCCCACCCCTCTAATTTTCTCTACTTGTTTTTATCTCTTTTCAAATAGTATTTCTCCATCTTTACAATTTCCAAAACAATTAAATAAATGATAATTTGAGCAACAAATTTGGATGGGTGGAGAAGAAAGAAGTCTAAAGGTGAATGAGAAAGAAAAATAATGAAAGGATTAAAATAGATAAATTAGGCTTCTTAGGAAGAGAAAATTATATGAGAAAAGTGGATGTTGAAGAAGAAATTTTGACAAATTACGAAATACCACATCACAATTTAAAATTATATTTTGGACAAATTATAAAATTACACGTGTCCTAAATTAAATTTAAATTTGTAAATCGTCACGTGTCTCTTTTATGGCCGTCCGATGAAATCAACTAATTGGATCAACACTCATGAAGAGACTGTGCCCAAGCCCATGACCCATATAAGACCCACCAAAGCTCTAGAAGAATTGGAGATTCAGAACACTCAGAATTGTCTATAATCATTCAGAGTCAAGCGAAGCATCGAGACTTGAAGGGTACGAGACTTCAAGAACATTGGACATTCTCTCCTCATACAACAATACTTGAAGACTCCATCAAACTGCAAAGTCTTCATCAAATTAACCAAATAACTTCAAAAAGTTGCAAAGCCGAAGCACTTCAGAAGCTGCAAAGCCGAAGAACTTCAACAAGCTGCAAAACCAAAGCATTTCACAAGTTACAAAGTCGAAGCACTTCAACAAGCTACAAAGCCGAAGCACTTCACAAGCTGCAAAGCCCAAAAACTTCACTAGCGGAAAGCCAAAGACTTCAAAGATTCTTCAATAAGCTCAAAGCCACTTCACAAAATCTTCATCAAGCTATAAGCCAAAGAACTTCATCAACAAGTCAAAGTCTTCGATAAACGCAAAGTTGAAGACTTCAAAGATTCTTCGACAAGAAAGAAGCTGAAGGCATTAACAATTGATTCAAGAACAAGCTCACAAGCCCTTGAATTAAAAATCACATTTGAGAGAATTAATAAGAGGATTATACATTAGAGATTGTAACACCCACAAAGTTCATTAATTCAAGTTTTCTCGTCCAACAGTGAAATTTGTAAATGTGGAAAAAAAATATTTGGAGCAATAGAATTGGTGGGGTTTAAGGAAAATTTGGTGGAGAAAGAGTTGGTAAAAGTTTTCTTGATTAGAGACCTATACCAATTATGTCAATTACTACTAAGTTAGACTCGCTTTGACTATTGTTAATTCATTTAACACTTACATAATATTTAAAGAGGATGAGACCACGAAAAACAATATCATCAACATGTCATATAAGTGTTAAAATAAATTAAAACTTTAATGACTTAATTGAGAATTTTTAAAGCAGAGTATGACTAAATTATAATCACGGAAGTTTAAAATAAAATATGCATATCTATTTAACCTGGAGGCATATACAAGTGTATCTATTATTTGCTGTAGGACTACAATACCTTAATAGAGTCCCAATATTTCATATATTTTATATAACTAGAATAAGTACCACTTAAATCTCAATAGAATCCTAACACCAAATTAGCTAAAAATTTAGAAAGTAGATTATCACCCCACAAAAGAAGACATATGAGTGAAAAATAGAATCATCATAGTTCCGAAGAGTGGTCAGATCAATGTAAATAGTAAAAATCTTAAGGATCACAGAGTGATTAACTATGTATCTAGTGTAGAGACGAGTATTAAAAAAAAAAATAGCAGATTAAAAAAAGAAAAACAAAACCATCCGATGATGAGGGTAATGGGCCGTATGGCCCAAAAGTACTCAATAGTGGGCCTAGCATTTGACAACGTACTGGGAGCCCACAGGCCCAATCGGAACGGATAAAAAGATAAAGTGCAGTTAGAGACTGGTTCTGGTTCGCGCTTTTTCCCTCTCCCTCTGCTTCTGTGTGGCCTGAAGAGTGAAAGATTCAGACCAACAACGGAGGGGAGACGCCAATAATGCCGGCCATAAATCTTTCACACTTCACATTTCCTCCACCGTCACTCTCTTCATCTCCCAAGTCGATTGCTACTTGCCTGCTTTCTCTCAACTCCCCTTGCAGGAACCTTTCTTCCAGCCTCCAGCTTCGTAGTTCCTCTCCGGTTCTTTTCAGGTAATTCGGATTCTGATGGCGTCGTCTGTTTGTTTGTTTTACGAAGTGGAATTTGATTATCGTTGATGACGCGTAGGAAGTATAAAAGAAAAAACAAGCGAATCTGCTCTCTGTTTTGGCGTCTGAATTGAGGAGATCATAGGATAGCGGAATTATGCTCCTCCTTCTTGCTCTTTTCCTTTTAATGTAGAATGGATTTGTGCGGGAAACAGACAGTGGGCTGGTGGGAGTACTTAGTTTTGTGACCGGTTTATTTTGAGAGTTCTCTGGAAGATTAAAACGATGTAGGTGCTCGGGAAATTGAAGAAGTAAAGAAGAAATAAAGGAATTTTGTTTCTAAAATGTGTATATAATTTCGATGAGTCAGAAAGGAGATGTAGCAGACGTTACTTAACGCAGTGTTTTTCAAAAATTAAGAACAAGAAACAGTAAATTAGAAGGTTGACGAATGGCCCCTGAAATAGCGATTCCGATGCAGTTCATTGAATGTATAGTTAATGTCTGTTTTTAATTTATTTAGTTATTTGTTTATATAGTTTTTCAAGTCGGTGCTCGGCAAGCACTCGCAGAGAGCGGCATTGGCACAAACCGGAAGTGGTTTCGAAATATCATGATCGCCAAGTAATATTCTACCATTTACCTTAATCTATTCTCGTTCTTTATAAGATTTTCGTAGATATAGCTTTTAAATTTTCTCGATTGGCGTTGTTTATGCTGGGGTTTTCTACTTCCCAGTAAAAATATAATCTCAATGATAGCGTGTTTAGATTCTCTACATGTAATTTTGGAGCACTGAATCAAGAGTGGTTATGATCAATCCCTTTGCAATCGGCTTTTTTATTGTTTTGCGTGGTTAAAAACATGACAATATAAGACGTTCCTTATATCCGTCTTTTGCTATCTATATGTTCTTTTATTGATTATTTTGATAAGATATGCACATTTAAAACGTTTAGTGTTTAGCTTCATTTCATGCATACACATCCATTTGAGATAAATTATTAAATTGTCTTCCAGGAACTTTGTCATCGTAACTACAGTAGCTGTGACTTATCTGCAAAATCAGCAACTGTTATAGATAATTGTTCTTCATCTGGGAAATCACTAGCAAAGTATAACTCAGCAAGGGAAATTCATGAGAATACAGATAACCTAATGTCTAGCAGTACAATCAGTAGTTCATTTCTGAAATTTGTGCTCCTGTCTGGGTTCTTCATATTTCAAGACTCTCAGCAGGCATTAGCCGGTTCAGATATTGCTACTGGGTTGCAGTCAGTCCCTCTTCTTGGAGACCTTGGTGATATTAGCACAGGTTTTGCTTCAGTTAGTAAATCACTCCTTGTAACTTCTATGAATTGGAATTTTTATCGATGCAGGAATCCTAATTTTAGTTTTATTGTCTTTGTGGAGAGTCCATAGCCGAACTTCGACATCTAGTTTACAGTTTTGAAAAACTCATACCTCTCTGGCTGCCAATAAAATTCTAATATTATATCTTGATTTTTAGCTAAACTGTGGAGTAATAAATTTAAGCTTGAAGTATGATGTAAAAGTGCATAATCATAATTCTTCTATCATTCTTTCTTGATGCAGGCATTTTTACTTATCTTTTTCTCAGAACTAGGGGACAAGACCTTTTTCATTGCAGTAAGTGAAACGATGATGAACTTCTGGTGGGAAGAAAAACTTTGTGTTGTGGTCTCCTGAACATAAAAATGATACAAATGAACTTGACTGATTGTTTGCTGACATATTGTCCTAATTATGATAGGACACGGTGCTTCCCCTAATTCTATGTTTACTGTCTTATGTAGGCTCTTCTAGCAGCTAGGAACTCTGCTGCTATTGTTTTTACTGGAACTTTTGGTGCACTTGCGTATGTTATTTCACCATGTGCTGACTATGTAACTTTTTTTTTTTCATTACCCAGCCTTTTTGAGAAATCATTGTCTGTTACCCCATCCCATGTGACAGAATTATGTTCTTAATGGTACCTGGGCAGGGACATCAGAAACCATGGGCCTGCAATCTCCTTATTTTTGTGCATAGTAAATGGATATGCATAAGCTTTTTTTTTTTGTTCGAGATCTTTAAATATAAAAGCAACTCATGATAGCCATGTCTCTAGTAGTAAAATAATGATATGAATGAATTGGTTCAGTGCAATGCAATTATATTATTACAAAAACAGATGAATCATAGGTTTTATTTACGAAAATGATATTCTGTTGACATCCCATGAAAACATGGTAAATTTATTGAGAGTAAAAAACTATGCATTTATCAAATCCCTCAGGAGGTGTTTGTCCATTGCAGGGCAATGACCATCATATCTGTTGTTCTGGGACGAACTTTTCACTACGTTGATGAGATTCTTCCATTCAGGTACATTCTTTGTCATAAGCACCTCTTTAGGAATACGAAGAATGTGAGAGTTTCAGCTCTTAAACTGTATGTTAATACACCATTGATCCAATGTAGCTGAGATTAACTGATAGGGTCCTAAATTTAATATCTTGGAACACTTTTCTGAATGTTATTCTCTAGTTCTAACTTCAATTCCTCTTTTGAAATTCCAATTAACTCTCACCCTTTCCGAAAACCACCTTCAACATATTTGATTATTTAGAACTCTTACACATCAATGATCACAGGCTTGGTGACAGTGATTTGCCAGTTGATGATATTGCAGCTGTCTGTCTTTTGGTAAGTACTATCGTAGTAATTGACAAAACACCTTATATTGCTTACTTGTATTTAAGTGGCTGTATGTTTGAGATAATGATCGAATGCGAACTTTAGAGACTCTTTTCAGGGATGTCATAGAATGCGTTTGACTAATTTCAGGTGTATTTTGGGGTTTCAACATTGCTTGATGCCAGTTCAAGCGATGGACTAAAGGCAGAAGATGAGCAGAAGGAGGTAGTCCCTTATACTGATGCATGATGTGTGCAGAAGTAACCTACAACACCCCTTTCTTTCACTTCTTGTTCAAGCCCTGTCTTCACTGTATTTAAGGTGACATTAGCTAGTGTTAGGTTTTTTTTGTAAGAATAAACTTTTTGGAATAAGTTAACATCTTAAAGAATACAGAGGAAAATACCAAATAATTAAAGGGAACATTTGGCATAAAATCAAAAGACTAATCCTAGGTGGAGTCTCTAACCCTAAGAGGCTATAAAATATAATAAGAAACCCTGGATAAATGTAATAACTACGACAAGTACAAAAGTAAAACAGAATTCCCTAGTAATGATCTTAAAATGTCATGCAAATCAAATGTGTTTTTCTTACTCATGTATAAGTCAAAGGATTTAAGGTGATGGACTTGGTAATTTTTTAAAAAATATTATATGTTTCAAAAGTATCTGAAAAAGAAAACATACTATATTCAGAGTATTTTGAAAAATATATTGGTTTAGATATAGTGATATTGGGCTACTAGTCTTTTTTACTTTTTTCTTAGATTATTATTATTATTATTATTTCAACTTGATTGATTGAAAGTATAATAAAAAAATATTCTTGAACAAGGATTTTTATGCAAAAATTAAAAAAAACCATTTTCTAGTAAAAATTATGCCTACCACAGTGCAGGGTGGAGGATTTTTACAAAGAGAACTCACGTGGGCTTTCTTCTATGAAGACATGAACTTGATCGGGGGCGTCTTTGTCCATGGATTCTGGTGTGGAACATTTGTTTGGTTAAATAGTGATTTTTAATTTTTTTTTCCATTAAATTTTTAATCCTTTAACTTTTTCTCAAATTTGGTCCTTAATCTTTTTAAATTCTCAATTTTACTTTTNCAAAACATATTTATTATTTTTTTTGGAAAACAGTAAGTAATATGGTTATATTGAAGATGTAAAATAGTAGTGTACTTCCAAAGTAGTCTCGGAACTACTGTTGACGCCAATTGTTTCCCCCCTCCCTCAAGAATTATATGAAGTCGCCGAAAACCAGATGGACTTGTGTGATTGAACTTCAATAGCTGAAATTATGTCTGATATTAACATCTTTGTTTTAAAATCTGAATCAGGCAGAGATAGCTGTCTCAAAATTCTCAGGAAATGGTGCTGGGATATTGGCTGCTGCCAGTACTGTCGTCAGCACCTTTGTTTTAGTGTTTGTGGCAGAGTGGGGCGACAAGTCATTTTTCTCTACAATTGGTAATTGAAAAGTCGGTTGAAATCTACAATTTTTATCCATCTTCTTGTCATCAAATTATTTTTTTTGAAATCTACTAATGGAAATGTCTGGTGCGAAATCTTGAAATTTAATAACTTATAAGGAATATAGGACGGCTACATAGTTTTCCCTGCCTTTCTCCTTTCCTTTACCTCATTTGTCTGCTAATGACAAAAAAATAAGAGTTGATCACCAAATTTGGAATCCGTCATAATTTAAAGATTCGAACAGATGATGAACATTTACAAATGTTATGTAAGTTGCATTCATCTTTCTAAACACTTCTTTAGAACCATATGGCATACCTAGAAACATTTTTAAAAAATTTGTTCTTGGAAGATCCAAACAAGCACTAAGTTCTTTTTTTCCTCATTCAATTACTTTTTTTTTCAATATAATCATGTGGACCAAAATTAATTTTTTTAATTAAATCTTTGAGGTTTATATTGCCAAAAATTTGCAAGTGTTTTTCTGATTTACCACTTCAAATACTGAACTTAAAGCTATAATTTTTCCTTATAATATAGCTCTTGCTGCTGCTTCTTCACCCCTTGGAGTCATTGGAGGTGCACTAGCTGGTCATGGTGTTGCAACATTGGTAACTACTATCCTTTTTAACAGCATCCAGTTCCTTCTTTTGGATACACAACTTTAATCTCAAATGCTGAATTACCGATCCAACAACTTCTCAGTGGGAAAAGTTCTCTCTCTAAGATGGGTAAACAGTTTTGCGTGTCTACCAATTAATCATGAACTTTCTTTGGTGGCTGTTACATTAAGTTGAATCTTATGTGCATATCTTCAACTTGGGTCCATTGATTAGAAATTGGGGCAAGTTTAGTGCATAAATTTGATTGAAAGCACGCACTATACGTCAATATTTGAAATGTACCAAACCTTTAGTGTCTATTTATCATGCTCACTTGTCATGTTGTTAAAATTTTGATCCGAGTTTGATAATAAATCTGCAGCTGGCAGTTTTAGGAGGTTCTTTGCTGGGGACATTTTTATCAGAGAAGGTAAGATGATTATTCATCCTTCGTCCACTTTTCTTCACGCATGCCTTTTGTGAATGTTCACGACTGTCTACTGCACATTATACCTCCAGGTGGATAAACTTGATATTTTTCCTGCTTTCTAAGTTATCTTTTTGTTCTTTGAAACGCATAGTATAACCCACTATTTTTAACTATTTAATGCGGATCGAAAGGTCAACCAGCAAGGATTACGATATGACGACAAATTTATTTGTCTTTTTTTCCATTTGGGGGAAGGGGGGATGTATTTAGATCAGTTATTCCCCCAAGGAAAAAAAAGGAATTGATTCTTTATTATGATTACTTTTTAAGTAAAGTAAATTTAGGATTTTGTAGGAGTAAAATATTTTCTTTGCTTTTCAATTATTGTCACAAATTTAAGATGAAATGATAATAGGTAAGAAATTATTCGTCAAAATTCTCTTTTGAATGTCCTAGAAGTAGTCTGATGTCTCCAAAAAGACGAGAACAAAAATTCAAAGTAATTATTGTTTGAATTCCCCATTTGTTTTATTTAATTCTCTCCCCACCTAAGTCCTGACCAAATATGAAAAAGAATAGAATATCGATGTAGCACTTATCCTTAGTTATTTTTTCCATCTCGAATCTGGATATGTCCTATTTTATTGTGACCCTATTCTTTCTTCCCTCCTCCAGAATTCCAAAGCATCATGCAAATGCAAACGGTTCTGTCCTAGTAGCCCACATAAGCACATGAACTTTTCAAATTTTCTTGATGCTGTCAGTAGTAGTTGTCAATGTATGTTCTCTCTGCCAGTCAAAGAACTATGGTTCCGAAAAGTGCTCATCTTGAACCACTCTACATGCACACATACCAGCCAGTGGACCTTCTTTTTACTACCCCCGCAAGTTACGATTGACAATCTTAGTGTCAGATTGTGCAAAATAGTTGTGCAAATTAAGCAGCATCATGGCATATGTGCTTTAGAAAGGTCCCATCACATCCATTAGTTGAAGAACGCAACTAATTTTTGGAACAACGAAAGTTTTTATGCTTTTTCAGTCTTCCTGAGTTGCAGCTACTAAACAGATCTTAGGCCCACCTACTAGTCTGCTCTGCTTCTTGTTCTTGTGATGCTAACTCAAGTTGCTTGTTTTTTCCTCAAAAGTGTAGCAGATTATTATTCCTGGAAATTACGTAAACAAAGGAAGTCCTTATTCTAACATATACCATATTATTCGCAGATTATTGCATACGTTGGAGGTGTTCTTTTTCTCGTCTTCGCTGCTGTAACTTTAGTTGAGATAGTGAACTAGAAGCTGTAACATTTCGAACTCTCTTTTTAACCATGAATTGTGACTTTGTGGATTAAAGATATACATAGATATATATTTCATTGAAAAATATTTGGATCCTAACCGGTAATCACCCTTCTTTTGCTGGCTATCATTAAATTTCTTAGATGTAGGAGAGAAATGCAGAAAGGTAGCTTTACTTTTTGTTTTATTTTATTTTCTGTTTTTCAAAAAAATTAAAAGCTAACTCTATCAGTGTTCTAACACAAAAATGGGTGTAGACCGATAAATACCTAAATATTATTCTATTCAGCATGGTTTATAGAGTATGTTTAGTGTGCACAGAGGTGAAGAAAGTTCAATCACGTCATATGAAGTTAAAAGGTCCGAGGATCTAACGGTTGTTTGGCTTTGGACTTGTTATCTCTGTTGGACAAGACAACGAGAGGTTGGCCATGTTTTCTGCATGTTTTAAGAACTTTTTTTAGTAAAACTTTTGAAAAGTTAATTCAGTTGATGAGTTCTTGTTGGGTGTTGCCAAAAGGCCAGCCCTGATTGGTTGAGGATTTTTGTTTTAGGGTTCAGTATAAAGATGTAAGAGGTCTCAGGTTCGATCTTTCTCAAATTTTGTAAGAATAACTATCTTTTACATCTAGTTATTCATTTTGTATGCGTCCATGTAATTTGAAGGTTTAGATACCATTTTGGTTCACATAATTTCAGTTTTAGTTCATCTTAGTTTATGTAATTTTAAAATATCTGGTTTTGGACTTTTATTCATTTAGACGTTCGTACTTTTAAAAAGTGACTATTTTAGTTTCTATTTACAAAATTCTAACACAAATTGCAGCGGAAATCTTTTCATACAAATTTATAGTTTTGTTTTAATAGATTTTTTTGAATGAAATATCATATTAAAATTTTGATCAGAATAAAATGAGATAAAAATAAAAATTAAGGGACAAAAATAGTCACTTAAAAACATAGAGACTAAAATGAACGGCAAGTACATGTCTCAAAATACTATTTAAAACCTAACTTAAAATATTCAAGGGTGCTTTTTTTAGACATACTATTTAAAACCTAACTTAAAATATCCAAGGGTGCTTTTTTTAGTACAATAAATTGGGAGTACAAGGGTTTGAACCTTTGACCTCAAAGGGAGGAGTAGATGTTGTTTATCATTTGATACGCATCTCGACAAATATCCTAAGGTGGTTCTAAAAGTTTTTCATAGAATTTTCATGAGATGTGAGAGTATCTCCATAGAATAAGGTAACACCCCACATGTTGTACTCAAAGAAAAAAATACTGTAAAATATAGTTGGGAAATGCCAATACGGCAATACACATACATGTTCTTTCTTCTTGCCACGTAACTATGAGTTTTCCTTTTGCAACCTGAAGTAGATAGTATTGATTATTACTACATAAGTATAAATTTTTCTGCCTATCAAATCATACTCTTACTAGTTTTAGATTTATGGATCATTTGCGAGATTTAACTAAAGAAGTTGAAACACTTAAAACCGTAGAAACAAAATTAAAACTAGATTCACACTATTAGGATTTCTAGAAATCAAATGACTAGTTAAGTTAGTCAATTAGAGCCTCTTTGGTAACGTTTTCGCTTCTTATTTCTCGTTTCCAATTTTATTAAGAAACTTAAGCATTTGACAATTATTTATATTTCTTGTTTCTCATCATTTTGGTACTAAAAATTGTAAAAACTTTAGAAACAATAAAACGAGTTTCTTGTTTACCTTTCCAATTTGTTTCAAGATATAAATAAAAGAATATTGTTTTATCATTCTTGAATCTAGGAGTATTGTATCGGACCACGTAATTTTATTTTATAAAAAAAAACAGAAACAATAAAAAATTAGGTATGAAATCAATCTCAAAGGTTAGTGAGAAGATTGATAATATTGGTGGATGTGAGGACCCGTAGCTGTCCCCCTCTTCTTCAAGTTTCTCATCTGCCATCACTTTCACTCTGGCTCCTTACTTGTCCTGCCCCAAAACCACACCCCTCACTGTCCCTCCTTCGCACGTGAGTTGGCACTGCAATTCTCCGTAAACTTAGACCTTTTTATAACATATGAGGTCAGGGATCGAACTCACAACCTCTCAGTTGAAAGTATATGTCAACTACCGTTGAATTATGCTTACTTTGATAACTTAAACCTTGTTTAATAACTATTTTATTCTCTGTTTTTAGAAATTATGTTTGTTTCCTCATATCTTCTTTAGTATCTTTGTTAAAAATGCAATTGTGTTGAATGCATGAAATGACCTTCGACGAACTCCTTACGCAAGTATGCGAATCTCATTGTTCATCCTGAAAACGTAGCTCAGATTCAACTAATTACTTGAGCATTTGGAGCTCTTTTGCACTTCATGAATTCAATTTTCTTGATTCTCTCTGTGATCATCAAGTTTCATCCATAAACAAACTGAATTATTGGTCAAATTTTATTTTTGAAACGTTTGTTTTTAGTTTTTCGAATTTTGCTTAGCTTATGAAAATGTTTGTAAAGTGTATATTGTGGAAAAAAAAAAAAGAAAGAAAGAAAGAAAAAAACACAACACAGATGACCTATGGCCTTAAAAGAATTATTATTGACTTATGGCAAGGTTTCGGGGCAATGTATTAACGTCTCTAAATTTGTCCTTTACTTTATTCTCCCCCAAATGTTCACACTAAGAGATGGAAATACCTCCAAGCAATTCTTCACGTTCGCCTGGTAAGTGATCTTGGCTTACCTTCTTATTTCTCTTGCTACTTAGATGTTTGCCCGATTCTGATTCTGGTGGGGCTCTACTGATGATCGGAAACGTCTTCATTGGAAAGAACTCAGGGAGCTTAACTTCAGAGACATCGAAGGTTTCAATCAGGTTTTGTTGACAAAACAGCGAGCGATATGGAAGGATCGAAATCAAGTAAATCAAGGCAAGCAAATTCTGAACTCTTACCCAAGGTATGAGTGGATTTGCTCTTATGCTATCCCATTTCGGACTGCCACTTCTTTCCCCAAATCAACTAAGGTCACAGAAAATTATATAATAATAATAAGACTGAGATATTGATAATAATAAATAATAGAGAAAATTAATAAATATTATATAAAATATTTATATATGATATAATAATATATAGAAATATATATATATATAATTATCTTAATTTAGTTATAAAAATTAATTACAAATATTATAAAAAGAAATAGTATAGTATAAAATATACTATATATTATATAATAACTATATAATTCGTTAAATCTATATAAAAATAGCCTACTCCTACGTCCCAACTGCCCCCAATTTGGATCCCTCCTCTTGATGGGTTCTTTAAGTTGAATGTTGACGTTGCTGGCAGAGATGAACATACTGGCCTCGATCTCATTGTAATTAAGCTTATCCAAGGTGTCTCTTCAACGCTAGGATGAATTCAATTCCCTTATTGAAGTTCATCATTTGGCTTTGAATTTTGACTCGATTTCTTTTACTCAGGTCTCTCAACCTGCTCACCTTTTGGCTAAGCATGGTCCCTAATGCCATGTCATCATCTTGGTCCTCTAATTTTCCTATTTGGCTTCATGAATATATCAGGGAGAAATCCCTTCAAATATAGCCCCTAAGCTTTATTTTCCATTAATTGAATGCATTCCCTCTAAAAAAATGTGGTTTATATTTTTTATATATATTTTTTTTACTTTTGATTATAGTTCTATTAACAAAATGTTGATAAATATTTATTTGATAAATTTTGGTTAATCGACATCTTGTAACATATAACAAATAAAATAAATGATATTGTGGAAAATATGTCTTTTAACTTTATGAAATCCTACCTCTCTAAATATCAACCTCATAATTATTAGCTCACCCAAATATAGATCAACTAATTAAAGTATAAAATAACCTTCTATAAATTTGAATGGTCAAATTCCTATCCTATTCATTGTTGATAAACTCATAAAAAACCTTCAAATTGTATTAAATAATTGATACGAGTAATAATTTTGAGGCATAAATCAAAACATTATCGTATGATGCCATTTATTATCTTTTATTGCTACAGAGATATTCGATAAAGCACCTAGAGGATATAATAAAGTCATAAATTTACCCTAACTAATTTTATAGAATTTCCGTTTACTAATTAAGAGAACTAGTGAATTACCAAACTATAGAAATTATGGTATTGGTAAAGTTAACAACTTTGGAATGATCATAATTGTGGCCAACGTGACTATAATTAACTGGTTAAGATACTTGAATATTTTTTACGTTTTAATAAATACAAAAAAGGGAAAAAAAAAGAAAAAGGAAAAACATGATTAATATTGAAAACAGTGATTGACAATTAATTGAGAATGTAAAAAACTATTAAAAGAACAATTTTAAGGACATACATATGACCATTGAAAGCCATCATGATTCTTGAGAATGGTTAAGAGTATATGTTGAAGAACCGCTATAACACCCGTTGAAAATCGACTATAACAATTTTAGAAATTAAACTTCTTCAGTATGCCGACATGAGTATATTTTAACAGTAAAGACATCTACAACTTTCTTTAGAGGCCATTTAGTTTAAGGTTTCAAAAGAAACAAATGGATTGCAGATATCTAGATATAAAATATCTGGAAATAAGATGTATGGAATCAAAGACAAATATATTTGATATCGTGTATGACAATGTTATCAAATTTTCGTAGAAATAACTGTGGTTTTCATATTATATGTATGAAATTAATCCAAAAGTTTTAAAATTATGATATAATAATTGATCTGTTCAAAATTAATCTTATATAAACTTTGTACCAAATAAGGACGGAATAGAAACTCTTGCCTATTGGCATCTCCAATCTCTTGTACTAAAGTTTCCCTCGAAATTGGAGATTCAAAAGTCTATCCTATATTAATTAAGAGAGGA